CATACATACATACATAAATAAATACACACAAACACGCAAACAAACAAACAAACATACATACATACATACAGAGAAAGCGAGAGAAAGAGAGGCATGCGGACTTAGATAAATATGTAGGTATAGATAGAATTAGATAGATAGATAGATAGATAGATAGATCGCCAGATAGATAGATTGTTTGATTGATTATTGGTTGGTAGACAGATGTATGTACATATGTATAAATATATATATATATGTGTGTGTGTGTGTATATGTGTGTGTATATATATATACATATGCGTGTGTGTCTACATGAATTTACTTATTCACTTCTTTTGTCATGCCGTGTGTGTATGTGTGTGTGTGTGCCTGCGTGTGCGTGTGCGTGCTCGTGCGTGCGCGTGCGTGCGGGTGCGTGTGGGTGCGTGCGGGTGCGCGCGTGTGCGTGCGTGTGCTTGCGTTTGCGTGCACGTGTGATCTGTGCGTGCGGGTGCGTCCGTGTGCGTGCGCGTGCGTGCGCGTGCGGGCATGCGGGCGTGCGGGCGTGCGCGTTCGCGTGTACCCGCGTGCATTTCTTCCGTTCGTGATAACTGAGAATGGCAGTTCCTCACCCGCCCGAACTCAGCCTGAGCCGCAAGGAAGCGACCGGGGCACATCCGCGGACCACCACCGAAAGCAGCCTCGTCGAGGCTCTGGCCTGCGAGCATACAGGATCAGGGCGATCGATCTTGGGAGGATGAGGATCGAACCACGAAAAGTGCTCGGGGTGTCGGGGCTTGATAGACACTTCAGCGTCGGGCGGGATGAACTCATGCGACGCTCTCAAACCCAGCACATGGGACTTGCTTTCAATGCAGCGTCAGTCAGATTTCCGAAACTCCTTTGGAATACTTTGGCAAACAAGCATGTCAGCATGCACAAATTCACAACCATCCACAGCAACTCCGATTGTGCTCTGCCGGACAGCGCGCGACCAAGGAACGTGCTGGGCAGATGCATCATGTTGCACCGATGTCCAACATAGCGACACTGGCCACGCCCAGCCAAAAACACAGATGCCACAGTTAGCCGGGCCCGCAGTGGTGCCCGCCTTGGCCGTCGGAGAAGGTTCGATTCCAAAGAAACTCCTCAGGTTGACGATGGGCAATACAGTCTGCAACCTGTGATGAAACTTACAGGCCAAACAAACACGAACCCGCTCAAGACAGCATCGGCGCATGAACCATCTCCGTGCGCGGCAAAGCGGTTTGTCCTTAATTATGCTGTCCTGAGACAGGTCTTCCGACATTACATGTGGAAAGATGGCACGTGCCACGAAGGCCGTGGTTAAGAACAGTTTCCCTGCCGTGCCGGTCTTCGGAAGCCCAAGTGCGTACCAAAGTGAAAATGTTCAGCGAAGTGCTCTTAGCCGCAAAGCCAAGGAGGCCCACGAAGAGGCAAACGATCCGGAATCCAAACCCCTTCCAGCAATACATCTGCTGCTCGACAAGAAAAAGCTCCTTGGGTTGAGGGTAGCGCTCGGCGTCGCACAGCAGAGTGCCGGCGAAGCCTTCGCAACATGTCCACGCCATCCGTTGCCACGGTTCTGCTGTGGGCTACAGGTTCCGGGCACTTTCTGTTCGTCACCCACTACATCGAATCTGCCGATTAGCTTTGCTGGGTACAGACTACTGGTTTTAACCATGAGGGAGTGCCTGCACGTTCATCACCACCACAATCAGCATGCAACTATAGCAGCTTCATCAACCACTGTACAACCAGCAACGCCATACCAACAACCGCAGTGGCATCACAAGCATTAGAAACCTGCGCATCGCCATCACCAACCTCATCATCATCATCATCACCATCATCATCATCATCATCGCCTTCTTCTCCTATTGCCTTCCAGCACCTGAAGCAACAACCTAAAAATATGATGACAAATGCCCTCTGTCATCAGTGCTGTGGGCTATGGGACTTGCTTTCGAAGTATGCCAAGCTGCCGTAGACCATGAGCCAGCCGGCCGGCACAGGTACTTTGCTCACCTGCGCGAAGCTGAATCATAGCGAGACATATCCGAATCTAAATTGTGCTCGCAGCAACAGCTGGGCATTCGGTTTCGCTCGTTGAACAACACCACCGGACGACGATTCCACATTTCATACGTAGAAGCTCTGAAGGCAATGTGTTTGAAAGGATCGTCGCAGTGAGCACATATCCCAGCAGAAAGACTTCAAGCATGTCCCCGTTTCCCGACGGCTTCGGCCTACGAGTCGGCGCCAAGATCAGATCTTAGGCCCCACATGAACAGTGACGGAGTTTCCTGCAAGATAGACCGCGGAGTGGAACATGCAGGCTTATCTCAAAGAGTCAGAGATGAAGAGCCTTAGATCTGGAATGTGCATGATGTTGTTGAGGGGTGGTGGAGATTGGGGTAGGCAAGGGCATGGTGCACAAGCAGCACGGTGGCAGCACCAGGGATACAGCAGGAAGCAGCACAGTGGTCCACACAACACCCGCTGCAGTTTGCACGTGGCTGTGGCAACGCTAGCTACAAGCAGCAACAGGAATGGACACGACATGTGGAGTCATATGGACAAATGGAGCAGCTTTTGCTGACCCGTACTCTCTGAGCGTTGCGAACATCAACGACGAATCGACGAAAAGCTTTCACACAGCATTTGCCCCGATCCCTTGACTTTGGCAATCTGGCCTCAAGATCCTCCTCGACCAGGCGCATGGCGAAGGGTGCCGGGGGTGAAGTGCGCAAGACCTCACCTCGGGATCGCAAAGCTTTGGGACTCACTGCGCAGGGGTGCAACAACACAGCACGCAAGAGCAAAGCCAAGCTTTCGCAATAGCGTCAACCTAGCCCACAGAATCACTCTTCTCGTTTGCCTTGAGAGGCAGGTGTTTGCTTGGCACGGGCGATCAATCAAAACGCTCGCTGCTGAAAAGCAACTACGTCGGAATGCTGCCAAAACACAGATCCTGGTCCGACAATGGACCATGCTTTTTGAGAAAACTCCACTGTGTGTTGGTATGGCACAGCACAGCGACAAGCATCAGAAGCAGTAGGGCAGGTGGGCTGTGAAGTTTAGACTCTAGGCCACGGTTGCTCTGATCAGAACTGGTTGCCGGCCGCAGTGCATCCGAGCGACTTAGAAAAGCGTCCAGATTGCGGTCAACAGTCTCCTAGGCACAATCTTAGTAACACCGACTCACCCGACGTCTCAGGCATGTAGTTCAGCGGTTCTCAACCCGGTTGGCTATATAATCGCCAACGGCGATCTTCCTCTGTCACTCCTGCTGCTCTCAGTACACAGCACGAGGCACTTTCAGCTCGCAGCTGAACCCAGGGGAGAGTCTGCAAGCCTGCTACGCAACGAGAGCCTGATCCAAAAGCAGCCGAATTGTCCCCAGCGTCCTACTGAAAGCTTTCTAAGTGCCTCCTGGCGACAGCACCGTATCATGGCACAAGAAACAGACCTCGGCCCTGTAAATACGTAGAAACAGAAGGAGCGCTTCAACCGAAGAATTTCTCGACAGACCAGGCCGCCATGTCTTCCTCGCTGCAGACCCTGGGCTGCCACAAAAGATAGTCAAGGGCCAAGGACAAGCTAGTCTCTTCCAACATCAATACTGCAAGAAGGAGCTTCTGTTGCCTACTTAGTAGTATCTACCGGGACCAGATTCGCGCATGGTGGCGGGATTGACAACTGCACTGCAGGCACCGGCGAAACCCATGCAGGGAACGACGTGTAAAGCCATGGAAGCCTAGATTGGCCAAGATGCTCTCGCAGTTGCTGCTGCAGGTCTGGATGCCGTGACAGTGCCAGAAAAGATGACGACAGGGAGCCTTGACAGCTAGACTGAACAGCGAGAGCGCATGCTGTCACAGTGCGCTGCTGTGTCATTCTAGGATGGGGGTGCTGATGCGTCTTGAAAACATTTAGTTTCCACACATCTCAGTATACATGTTTTAGACTTCGAGTCGGCATGGAAAGCTACAAGTTCAGAACGAGCATGTGCTCAGTGCGGACGCTGACCGGCATCATTACCAGCTGGTCAAACATGCAGGGCTTGTCACTTCAAGTGATGTGATGACGACGGCGCGGACTTGCCGCCGCCGGGAACGGCTCCTGTACGACAGGTCTGCACTATGCATATGCCTGGAAAAAGGCGTCTCCGTGCACCTTTCTTTCAAGAGCTAATTGATCGGCACCTGCTTAATTTACATCCAAACTGAGGGGGAAGCTTGCCGTCGTGTCAGTCGCAGCGAAAACGAGCGTGAAGACGTTGTCCACAATCTCCTTGCGCCGCCAGGACAGGACGTTGAAGCAACGGTCACTGGACAAGCAACCCGAGGCCATCGTGATTCGCAGACTTGGGGCATGGGCCCAAGGCTCGACCTCCGGCCTTGGCCCCTCCTTAGATTGGATGACATCCCATATGCCATAGACACGAGATAATGTCACCTGAAGTTGTCCACGGAATATTTGGGCATGAGGTGGTGTTTTTCCTCTTGCATTTGGGAGGTCACGGTACCAAGACCCTTCTGTCCTCTTCGGTCAAGCGGGCTCCGTCCTCGTCCTCTGTGAAAACAAGCCTCACAAACATCTCTTCGGGACAAGGCCCGAAACATTCCTACTTGGGCTTGCACCATGTTGCCACTTTACCCGCAGACCTAGTCAGCTTGCAGAGAGGGCAGAGCTCATGAAGTTGAATCCCCAAACGAACAAAACCCCTAAATTCGAAGCTTCGGGGAGATGCAGACAAAAGACATTGAGAAGAGTCTTACCATTTGCAGGTCAGACAATGTCAAATGAGCATCTTGACCGCGCTCGGGCTGGACAGACAAAAACCAGCCACCGCCGGACATACTGTTCTCCCATGAAAGTTGTTCAGCAGCTGAGAGCTCAAGGGAGATCATCAAGCGCAAGGCCCGCTACTTGCTGCAATTGCGAAAAACATAGAATTTCGCAATGTGTGCCTGGACAGTAGCATACCGTCGCCTTCAGCACAAGACTGGATCCAGCCTGTGCTGCACATGATGCTGCACATGATGCATGCCTATACCGAATAGAAGAGCCGGCATCTGAAGCACAATGGTTCATGCGAAGTCTTGATCTGTCAGTCACCATGCGCCGCACGACGGCAACTGGATGCAACTGGTGGAAGCCCAAAAGCAACGTGGATGGCCAACACTGAGATAGTATGTATGTATGTATGTACATATACATACATATATATATATAAGCCCGCCCCCCCCCCCCATGATCCACCATCGGTGGGTCTGGGGAGTGGGGGGGAACTCGCGTGGTGCAACTGAAACTGAGACACGCCGGAAGTCTCCTGCTGCGTTGCTGTACTGTGCGATATGTGATGTCGTGTCTTCTATTGTGTTTTCATGTATAATAAGGTCCTTAAACGGCATGCCGTTAGACTGAAAGTTCATATTGTCTTGCTTCAGGTTTAACCGATGTAAAACAGGCATGAATAATTAGAATAAGTCTTTATTAACATAGTTATAGAAAGACAATTAGGGGATGTTGTTTCTCATGATTCAAGCTTCTACATCGAGTTGCTGCTTAATTAATGTACACTCCTACTCCTCATTGTATGTAACTACTGTAAAAAGGACCCCGAAACCCAGCGTTTTGGGCTTTTTCATGATTACAGACCTTTGAAGCTTTCTGGGTGTTCATGATATGCGATAAACGTAGTGAAAATCCAACACCACTAATCAACAAAATTAAAACTTATGGGATAAGACTGTTGCAACATCAGGCAATATTGTCAAATTTGGTTTGAATCTTATATGAATGGTATCTATTCTGTGATGGTCAGTATTTCTTCATATTTTCACCGTAAGCGTGTGTTATATATACGTATCATTTGTGTACTACTTAAATGATAGATGATGAGGGGGGATGTAGTATCTATTTGATAGTTTGTTTAATACTTCAACGACACCTGGTGTGTTCACACCTTTTATGTGAATGTTTGTTTGGTGTTTAGCTAGCATTCAGTATAGGTTTACCTATGAAGTTGCTACGTAGTGAGCATCACTAGTGAGCATTTTATCAAAGATGCAGTGAAATCTAATCCATTGTTAGACTAGTATTGACCTACGGAACAATGTCTAGTATATACTGTTAGTAGTTTAAACGTCGGAAGATATTGCCTGAAAGACTCGTCTGGTAGTTATTCATTCTTCAATATCGAGTTCTCATTATGAGACATGCTTAGTAGTGATTAATCTGGCTTAGCAGCTTAGCATTTATTATTATATAATGAATTATTCGACCAGCATCTCATGAGTGGCGATACGGAAACATTCAGAAGATAGCTGACCACAGGCAAAAAGAAAGATCAACTGTTGTCAAGCCCAGCGCATGTTATTCAACAAGCATCGAATTGCCGTTATAAGAGATGCTTAGCAATCAGTAGTTCTGCTTGGAATCCAAAATTGGTATTCATGAAACAGTAATATCGCTTTGCTTTCGAAATTCATGAGTTAGTCGACGAGTATATACCTAAAGCGTATTGGTAATGCGGAAATTTTTAAAGATTGCTGACGACAAGTGAAGGCCAAGATCAGCAACTGTTGGATAGCGACCATTTTGATTCTTCAATATCGAACTACCGTTACAAGAGATATTTGACATGCATGAATTATTGATACCGCGTGGTATGTAATATGATTTTCGGCCAATATCTCATGATTTCACACATCATGACGCATTATTGATATTCAAGCAATATGCAGAAGATAGCTCATAAGTAAACGACAATATTAACAACTGCTAGATGCTGGGCATGTAAGCAATATTTAATGGTGCTTAAATTATACCTCGCCAGTCTGCGGTTACTGCGTACGTTGTTCAAGCCAGCTAATAGTTCAGTGATACTAAACTGAATATTTGCTCAATTCATAGTTGGTTTTAAAGTTACAACATCTGAATAACAAATAAGTCTATTGCGATAATGTTTGCGTGCTAGATAGTGGCTTGTCAGCGGGTGGAAGGTGGGTATTTCACCATCTTTCAGAAATACACCCTGCACCGTCGTCCCAATTTCCTATCATTCCTAAATTAACCGCCAAGCCCCGAATGTTTTTCACCATATATAAGGTTAAATAAACCTTTTCTTTGTATGCTCTCTCGAGCTTTGAAAGGAGATGCTCCTGAAACTGTATGCGCCGTAGAATGTACTCGGAGTCGAGATAGCTGGTCATTAAAGATACAAAAGCTGAATAACAAACAAGCCTGTTGGTAGTAACAAACTCCACGTGAAAACCGACGGCTTTTTGACACATAGCAGAAACACATACCATCACCCCAATGATATCTATCCAGAATTTAGGTTTTGTTGGAATATCACAATAGGAGGGGGGTTCTATTTGTGTGCTACAATGTCTTCTTCACGGGTTGAAATCAAAGTGCGGATCAGGGAATATATCCCCACCTCCGAGCTGAATTGCGTCCTTGGTGTGAGCCTGTGAGGAGCGCCCGCAAACGGTCGGTGTATGAAATTTATGTTCAAAGCCTCAGGATTGAAACATAGAATTATACAAACAGTGCGAACAGAAGAGACACTGGCAAATCCCAAAATCCAAAGGTTTTTACAGAATCTGTGGATTCGCATTTGTTTGATGTGTTGGATTTCCATTGTCTTGTTTGGGTTTTTGTAGAATCAAAAAACCCTAGGATATGTTTGTTTGGATTTTGCTGGTGCTGTTCAAAATCATTCTATTCTCTGGGGTTTCTCTAAGGTTTTTTGGATTTTGTAATGCAATCCAAAAAAACCTAAGGGAATACAATGCTTTCGACCGGCGACACCAACAAAATTAACATTTTTCTTTTCCTAAGAAAATTTTGGATTTCTTTACAAAACCCAAAAAACCCTAGAGAATCTAATGATTTTGACTAGCCACACCAGCAAAATCCAAACATTTCCTAGGGTTTTTTGGTTTCTACCCAAAAAGTCAACCAAAAAATACGAATCCAAAGATTTTGTAAAATCTTTGAATTTTTGGATTTCTGAAACAGTTGATGCTACTTTCTTATGCTAGTCTGCTAGTCCGTCATGAGGATCAAACATAAACACAATTCAGTCGAATCTCGTGGCACAGTTTTGGGTATACACAGTTCGTTTGTTGCGGTTGCGCCTTGTCTGAAGTTTGCCTCGTT